GCTAAAAGCGGACAGGAAGAGGAGGAGGGTCTTTCATGGGGTAGGACGGCTGTACGTGTAGGTGGTCATAGGGCATGTGTTACTTGCGGGTGGTCATCAATTTCAAAAGGGCTCCCGGAACTTGGAGGTGCGGGGTGGAGGGCCCGCTTCTTACCAGATGCTGTAGTTGCAGCTAGGGTGCGGGGTAGGACTGGGGTACTCCAGGCTGGGAGTGGTAGGCGGATGCCTCCGTGTCAGCCACTGCTGCACTCAGCTGGTGGAACAGAGTGGGCAGGGATATGGGGCACTCTGGCTGCTCAACCCCCTGCCCTCGCTAACACTTCTGGCTCACCTGGCAGGAATACTGTCCGTTGAAGCTCATGCCTGGACGGCGAAGGAACAGAAGTAGCTACAGGCTGGGCGGCAGTGGCTCAAGCTGTGGAATCCCAGGCACTTTGGGGCGGAGACTGGGCGGATTCACGAGGTCAGGGGATCGAGACCATTCTGGCTAACATGGTGAAAACCCGTCTCTTACCAAAAATACAAAAAACTGCCTGGGGGGGGGGTGCCTGTGCAGTTCCCAGCCTACTCGGGAGGCTGAGAGGGCGAGAGAGGAATCGCCGTAAACCCGGGAGACGGAGCTTGCAGTGAGCCTGAGGATCCGGCCACTGCCACTCCAGCCTGGGCCGGCAGAGCGGACTCCGTCTTCAAAAAAAATAAAAAAAAGAGTGCCTCCACATAGTTGTTACACAGGTGCTGACACTGGGGCTGGGGGTCCCTCTCCCCTTATTTGCTCTGGGAAGCACATTCATCAAGGTCTGGAAGGCATTCAGGAAGGAGGGTTAAGCTCCTGCTGGGAGACCAGAGTAGTGGCTCTGATCTTAGGGAGGTCACTCACCAGAGGCCTAAAGACAAAGGCACTTTAGGCCACCTGGACCTCCAGGCCAGGTCTCTCCAATGCTCTCTAGGGACTGCTCCACGGGGACAGATCTCAAGTTGACAGGCCTCGTTAGGAAAAGCTCTCTTGAGGGGAGGAACAAGGAAAGCCAGGCTTTCAGCTTCTTTGGATTCAAGATTCCCTTTCTTGGCCTCCATTCAATGTGGCTGAGGTTAGAGAAAAGGGATCCCTGGGGGGCTACTCACCCACAGCTTGGTAGTAGGCCAGGAAGCCCTTGTAGAACATGATGGTCCCATTCTCCTCGTTGGAGAAGTCTGTGTGGAAGGTCAGCAGCATCTTGTTCCCTTGAGACAAAAATTCCTTTTTTCCTGGGGGGTTGCCCAGTGGAGAACCCAGTTGCCCACAGAACCTCCCCAGGTTTTTCTTATCAGCAGAGATCTGGTGGAAGAAGGACAAGGAGTAGGAAGAAGACCTGTTGTGGAGTGGCACACGTGGTGGCTCAGTGATGGTCCTCCTGGTCTCACCCAGAGCGAATCATGCACCACATCGGCTCTCCTGGTCACTACCTGCTGGGTTCAGCTACTGCAAACTTCCCCATGTGACCTTCAACTGTTCCCCAAGTCTCCCACTGACTCACTCTTTGCGTGTTGTCCTGCACTGGGTACCTCACTCCTTCCCTGTTTTCTGCTCCTCTGGCAGGTTTCAGGTCATTCTCCATCCCCACCTCCTGCAGCCTGTTCCCCTGGGGTCCTGGTTGTCTGTACCCAGCCTTTCCCCTCCCCTCATTCCCTGAGCCCAGACATGTCTACTTTATTTTCTGCCTTCCGATTCCACCTAGGCTTAATGAAACCATTCACACCTTCAGTGCCTCCTTATGCCCTTGGCTGAACATGAGCCCTGAAGTCCACCAGTCTCAGTGTCAGGAGGCATGGCCTTGTCCCTCTTCCTTCCTCCTCAAAGCCTCCTCAACCTCTTCTTGCCCCTGCCACCAAACACCCTCCCCCAACACTGCACACTCACCAATTCCTCTGGGTGGGGAAGATGTTCCGTTTTCATGTTATGTTGGAGGCCAAAAGAGTGAGGGTGGTGATCAACTCAGTGTACCACTGGAGGCTACATGAGTAAACAGCAAACTCTTCTCATAAATGCAGGATGTTGGCAAACTGACACACTGCATCTGCTGCCCAGAAGGAATGCTGAGGGCAGCCATGCCCCAAGTGTAGCGTTTCTTGTGATTATCTACAGGGCACATCTGAAGCCTGTTAGTAATAATATAAACCTGTGATCAGTCAAGCAGCCAACCAATTGTTACCTCCTCTTCCCTGCTCATTCTACCCAATAAATGTGAAGGGCTGTGGAAGCTCGGGGTCTGCTGCTGTTGCTCACTAGAGCAGGGAGCTCTCTTCTTCTTCCCCTGGCCTCTTTCTTTAAAACAGTTTGTTTTGTCTTAAGTTTTCATTTCAACATTTGTCCTCCTTCGTTCAGTCTTGTAATGATGGACTCAAGTAGTAACATTAGTAACTGTCGTAGTGATGGTTTCAAGTAGTAATTGTGGCAGTCAGTTACAAGTGGCGCCCAAACAGGGACAATCAAGGACAAACAGGGACCTGAAGAGGCCTGCAGGGACAAATAGAGATTAGTAGGGATAAATAGAAATGAATAGAGATAAATAGAGACAAATGGAGATAGGTAGGGACTTGCAGGAACTTGTAGGAACTAACAGGGACCATAGGGACAGACAGGGACAGATAGGGATAAAGAAAGACTAGGAAAGACTGGCAGAAACTTGCAGGGACAGACAGAGACAGATAGGGTCCTATAGGGACTTGAGCGAGGACAGTCTGCTGGAGCAGAAAAACTAAAGCCCAGAAAAACCTAAAACCTAAAACCTACCAGACGAATGAGAAACCCTGTTACAAGTCTGCCGGCAGCAATATAAGATCAGTGCTCTAAAGTGGTACAGAGAATAGGAAGTTTTTGAATCAGGGTAATATGGGGAAGAATTTGGTTATTTCTTTTTTCTTTTGTTTGGAGTTTGGTAAGTACCACCTTTTTGTTATTATTTCAGGGTTTGAGCTAATTTTTTGCTGCACCTACAGCACTTATTGAGGGTGGTGAACAGGAGAGGGAGGATAAAAACTGGCTTGAACCGTCTGCTTTTGTGACTACAGAAAGGCTAACTTTGGCTTTGGCTTTCATGGATTGTGGACATGTGCTGGCACCTGTGAGATGTGCAGAGGACTTGGGAGGTTTTCTCAGCTTGTCAAGATGTGGGAACCGAGCTTCATTGCTCTGCAGTGTTGACTCAGGCAATGGCTAATTTGGTAGCTGACAGATCTAAAGGAAGCCAAGGGTTAAGCCCTAAAGTGAGAAAGTGTTATAAGTGTAGAAAAATTGGATGTTTTAAAGGAGAATGCCATCAGACCTCTGGGCAGAAGGGATCTGATAACATAGTTCTCCTCTCAACAGAAAAAAATGCTAGGCCTTTGCTCTCGTTGCAATAAAGGAAATCATTGGGCTAATCAATACCACTCAAAGTTTCATCAAAATGGCATCCCCCCCACCCCTGTTGGGAAATGAGAAGGGGGCCTGGACCTGGGCACCTCAAACAATGAGGGCATTCCCTGTCTGGGTTGCAACTCCCTTTTCAGGGGTGGGTTTCTGGAGACTCATTGATTCCAGCTCCCTCCAGTAGCAGAAACACCTGTAAGCGCAGGATTCGATCTCCCAGTCAGAGAACGAGTTACATTAGTTGGAGGAGACAAACACGAAGATTCCCACTGGTTTTGGGGACCTTTGCCAGCAGGACACATGGGATTAATTTTAGGCAAAAGTCATCTTAACTTACAGGGCATTGCTGTGGTTCCGGGAGTTATTGATTTGGATCACAAACCAGAAACTCAGGTAGTGGTAATGGCATAAGATCTTTGGGTTTTTGAACCAGGGAGAATATATTGCTCAATTGTTGCTTATTCCCTGTAAATTGCACCCTTCTCCACGAAAGGAGAAACAAGGGAATCGGGGATTTGGAAGTACAACTATACGGGAAATTTATCTATCACAACCCATGGCATCTAATAGACCCACTTGTTCAGTGTAAATTGAAGAAAGAAGTTTTGTGGGCTTATGGATACGGGAGCAAGAGATTGGTCTCTTGTGGTAATAGATCTTGAAGATTGTTTTCTTTGCTGTGCTATTGCACGAGAAGGATAAACTTTGATTTGCTTTCTCTGTGCCTTCTGTTGATTGGAAAGAGCCTGTCTCATTATCAGTGGAACGTTTTACCCCGCAGTAATTAACCAAAGAGGCAGAAGCTGAGTTACAGCTTGTGGAGCAGATGCTTCAGCAACAGCATGCCTCCTGGCTACAGGCACAAAAGCCTTTGCTTTTGTTTCGGTTGATTTACTAACTGCGGATGAGGGTATGCTTGTGTTTTCACAGGAAATGAACAAACCGTGTGGGTGCCCCAAGGTGTGTGAGACCATGGCACCAGAGACTGGAGAGACCCATGGATCCCAGCTGTGGGCCTGGCTCCTGCAGTGCGAGCCATGAGCCAGTTGAATCTGAATGTGAAGATGGAACAAACCACCAACGGCAATTGAAGGCTGCACAGCCTGGAATTGCCTTTACTAAATTAATTCAAAAACAAAAAGGGAGAGATGTTGGAGGCTGAAAGAGTGAGGGTGGTGATCAACTCAGTATACCACTGGAGGCTACATGAGTAAACAGCAAACTCTTCTCATAAATGCAGGATGTTGGCAAACTGACACACTGCATCTGCTGCCCAGAAGGAATGCTGAGGGCAGTCATGCCCCAAGCGTTTCTTGTGATTATCTACAGGGCATATCTGAAGCCTATTAGAAATAATATGAACCAGCCAGGCGCGGTGGCTCACTCCTGTAATCCCAGCACTTTGGGAGGCCGAGGCGGGTGGATAACGAGGTCAGGAGATCGAGACCATCCTGGCTAACATGGTGAAACCCCGTCTCTACTAAAAAATACAAAAAATTGGCCACGTGTGGTGGCAGGCACCTGTAGTCCCAGCTGCTGGGGAGGCTGAGGCAGGAGAATGGTGTGAATCCGGGAGGCGGAGCTTGCAGTGAGCCGCGACAGTGCAAGACTCCGTCTCAAAAAAAAAAAAAAAAAAAGAAATACTATGAACCTGTAATCAATCAAGCAGCTGACCAATCTTTATCTCCTCCTCCCTGCTCATTCTACCCAATAAATACAAAGGGCTGTAGAAGCTCGGGGTCTGTGGCCTTTGTTCACTAGAAGCAGGGAGCTCTCTTCTTCTTCCCTTGGTCTTTTTCTTTAAAACAGTTTCTTTTGTCTTAAATTTTCATTTCTATGTTTGTCCTCCTTTGTTCAGTCTCATAATGATGGTCTCAAGTAGTAACATTAGTAACTGTTGTAGTGACTGTCTCAAGTAGTAACTCTCTCAAGTAGTAACTGTGGCAGTCAGCCACAATCTTATTAGTGCATACCTCCTACCTCCGGGGGTCTCCTGGGAATGGTAGTTATTGGACCTTTGCAGGCTCTGCTTGAGCCCTGAATCTCATTTTTACTGGATAGAGAAAGATGGGCCAGGGAAGGTACCCTTGGTTGTCACAGAGGTGAGGGTTCTGAGCCTACTGTCCTTGCTGAAGACTATTCCCGTGCTGCCAGAGCACACATTTCTCCTCCTCCCGTCCCTGTGTTCCTGTTGAGGCAGGCAGCCACGCCAATCTTCTCCTTGGAGACAGGGAAGCTGAGGCACAGTGGTTTCCCAAAGGCTCTCAGCTAGACAGCAGATGGGGAAGGTTTTCTTGACTCAGTGGACAGTGAATTTCCTGAGTGGGTCCTGTCCCTTTCTCTGTGCTTCTCCCCTCAGTGCTCACTGCGGGCCTCTTCACCAGTGAGTGCCCTGTCCAGGGCAACCCTTGGCTCTAAGAGATGCAGTCGGCCATCAGCTCTTGTGGGGCTGGGCTGTGTCTGGGGGTGTGCATGCCATACAGATCCCAGATCCCAGAGGGTCCCGTTTTGTCTCCCCTCTGCCGCCCATCCTGCCCCTACCTCAACATAGTCATGGCAGCAGCCTTCAGAAGGCTCCAGGTCAAAGTGCTGGAAGACGAGCTTTACCCTGTATCCTGTGGGGACTGTGATCACAGTGTTTGTTTCAAAGCTGTTGGGGTAAGGCTTGGGGAACAGAGGGGAAGTCACCTCCCCAAATAACCTCTGAGGGATGAGAATGGGATTTCTTGGCCTGTGGAATAGGGTTGAGGCCAGGAGGTAAAAGAGCCACCTGCCAAAACAAAAGAGTGTCTGGAGCTGGAAGGGTTCAGCACTCTTGCCATGTGGGCAGTGGCCATGGCAGGGGATGAGATGGCCATACTGCTGGGCATCCTCCTCCTCTCTGCCCACTCTGGACCTCACCGACATGTTCTCAGCAGGGGTGCCTGGGTGGGGAGGGCGGCCTTTGCAGCTGCTGCATTGGGTCACTCCCCAGGGCAGTGTCCAGTCCGGAGGCCACCACACTCCCCTCACACTCCCCTTCCAGCCTCCTCCCCTGCCCGGCCCCATCCCTCCCCTCCCCTTCCAGGAATAGGACTGGCTTGGGACAAGTTAGTGGAGGGTGAGGGTTTCCACCCGTGGGTCTCTGAAAGGGCTCCCACAGGTTCAGTAAGAGCATCTGGGAGAGACCATCTGTGGCGTGTGAGACACAGGCAGAGTGTCCCCTCCTGGGCAGGGGGTCCCCTCCTCTTGCTGCTTCCTGCCATGAGCCCAAGGGAAGAAAGGACCATGGCATGGGCTTCTATGTATAAGGTCTCCTCTGGTCCTTAGGAGGAGGGACGGGGCGTGTGTTGTGTGTGTCCATGTGTGTGCACAGTGGGATTGATGAGAGAAGAGTGTGTGAAGAGAGAAGGGTGTCCCTGTCTCCCTGAATTGCCTCCTATGTCCTGGCTTCTCCCCTGGCTTCCCCCTCCCTCCTGGGTGCCCATCACCCTTACTCACATTTCTCAAGGCCCGTGTTAAATCCTGGGCTCTCCTGACAGCGTCTTCGTGCACTGTGTGCAGAGGGAGGCCGCGTCACGCACAGCAGGGAGGGGAGGGTTTTCTGTGGAGTGGAGGGGGGACCATTCCCGGAGGAATGTTGGAGGGAATGAACTATTTGCATAAACAAAAGATCTGAGTTTCCACTTTAATTTAGTTTTGGTTTTGAAATCTCTGTCGGTGGTGCCACCTGCTGGTCTATGAGGGAAAGGGCTAAGGAGACGGGAGTCTGACTTTTTAGGGCCAGGGGAGCCTTTGGTTGGAGGCCCAGATGCCTCAGTCTCTGAATCTGATCAGCTTCTCCTTCCTTCCAAGACTTTCCTGGGGGGCTGCTGCTGTGTTTACAAGGTTCCTACCAAAGCAGTGGGAGACCACAGGTTGTGATTTCTCTTTTCTGGGCTGTCCTTTCCCATGACCCCGTTCTTCTTGCCGTCATTCAGCCCACAGCCCTGGTTCAAGAATGGCCCGGGTTTCCATGCCCAGGATGTAATGATAGGAACACTGGGGCAGAGGAGGGCACGTGGGAGTGGGCAGAAGAGAGAGGAGCTTGGTTGCCTTGGGGCCCTGGCCTGCTTTAGCCGTGAATGACACGTGGACATAGAATAGGGATGGCCATGTCAGGGCAGCCCTAAATCAGCCCTGGGTTTGAGACCCTCTGGGGCGGCTGCGGAGGGGGTAAAATGTCCCCATCTCCTCAGTGTCTGCTCAACACAAGTGCCAGGGCTGAGGCCGAGGGTGCGGGTGTGGAGCAAGAGGCGCCTGGTTTTTCTGAGATGGAGCCAGGCCCCTGGGAGGGAGGAGGGACCCTAGACTCTCTTGTCCGTGAGGCCATAGTGTCCTGCTTTAAAAATTTTGCTCTTGGCCGCGTGTGGTGGCTCATGCCTGTGATCCTGGCACTTTGTGAGGCCAGGGTGGGAAGATCTCTTGAGCCCAGGAGTTCGAGACCAGCCTGGGCAATCTCTAAAAGTTTTAAAACAAATAAAAAACAATTCACTGTTTTTGGAAGGCGTTTCTTCATCAATCTCCCGTGGCACCAAATATCTGACGGGCACTTTACCCCATAGGAGGCTTTGGGCTGCAGAGCAGGCCTCTGTGGTCTTAAGCCTTGTAGGCTGTTCCGCTGTTTCCCTTATTAGATTACTCCCTCGCAACCTCCACCCTTCTGCCCCCACTCCATCCATTTTTGGGCTACCTGTTTAATGGCAAGGCACTTTCCCAGGCAATAGATTGCAAGAATTCACAGAGCTGATGCAGTTCCCCATCAGGCAGTGACCAAGTCATCAGTAGTTAGACAGCAGGCACACAGAAGGTGCAAGATCCACCAACACTTGGAGGGTTTCTCCAGCAGGCCTGTGTGTCACAGCTGAGGACTGAACCTAATGGAGGGCTGGTCTGTGATGCGATCAGGATATGAACCACAGCCTTGTTAGGTCAGGAAAGACAAAAGATAGGGGAGAAGGAAAAGGACTAGATCAGAGGACGAGAAGGAAGAGGAATCTCGTGTAACAAACTGCACATTAATATCCTGGCAGCAGCAGTGTTTTGTGTGTGTGTGTGTGTGTGTGTGTGTGTGTGTCTGTGTGTGTATGCCGTATATGTGCATAACAGAGGCAGAGGGAACAGGTAAGGAGGTAAGTGTTAGCTGAAGCTCTTCCATCCATCCTAGGGAGTCTCAGTTCTGCCTTGGCATTGTGCAACATGCTTGGAGAGCGGCAAACCTGGACGTCATTAGCTCAGTCCCAGCCCTGTCTCCACTCTGTCCAACCATTCAAAATAACATTTACTCACACATTTTTGTTATGTCCTTGACTTATACCAAGAAGGAAAAAAATGCATATGAATGTTGCTGCATCTGTTTTAAAACAAGTATTGAGGACCTTGTCTGTTACAGTGTTTGCTCCTCTAAGGATTTGATTCTTGGGAAAAAGATTTCTCTCTTAAAGTGGTGGTAGGTTTTCCTCTGTGGACATGTCTCTATCGCTAGTTCATCCATCTCCATCATCTCTCTCTAACTTCTCTCTCTCTCTCTCTCTCTATCTCATTGTCTATATCTCTATCTCTAGACCTAGAGACAGCGATGGAGGTATAGATATAGATCTAGACGTACATATGTAAATATAGGTGTATATATATATTTTTTTGCCTTGGTACAGAGAAACGCATATCATTTTTTCAATCATAAAAAATTAGTAAAATAAAAATGTTTTATGTTAATTAAACAAAATTCAGCAAATAGAGAATAGTGGAAAACCAAACAGCAAAAATCTTAATAAAACCACCTTTGTTTGGTATTTTGAGAGAATTATTATTATATTTTTGGAGATGGGGTTTCACTATGTTGCTTAGGGTGACCTTGAACTCCTGGGCTCAAGTGATCCTCCTGTATCAGCCTCCTGAGTGGTGGGGACGATAGGTGTGCATCGTCCTTTTGGGAATATTTTAAATAATCTCTTGTACTGTGTGTGGGTGTTAAAAACGGAAGTAACCACATGTATGTACAACTTCGAATCCTGCCATTTTTTTTAGAGATACATTTAACCTTTGATCATAGTAGCAACGTGACTCTTGATGCTAACAAATTATCTGTCTCTCTTTTATTGTGTTTTTTCTATTTCCATTGAATAATTGTATTTTGTGTCTTTCACTGTAAATCACCTCCAATTATTTATTTATTTATTTATTTTTACTTTTCTTTGTTTTAGACAGAGTCTTGCTCTGTCGCCAGGCTGGAGTGCAGTCGCACGATCTCGGCTCACTTCAACCTCCACCTTCTGAATTCACGCCATTCTCCTGCCTCAGCCTCCCAAGTAGCTGGGACTACAGGCGCCCACCACCACACCCAGCTAATTTTTGCATTTTTAGTAGAGATGGGGTTTCACTGTGTTGGCCAGGATGGTCTGGAGCTCCTCACCTTGTGATCTGCCCACCTCGGCCTCCGAAAGTGCTGGGATTACAGGCGTGAGCCACCGCGCCCGGCCCATCACCTCCAGTCTTTACTAAAAATTAAAGCGTTGGTCCTCTCAGGTGGAGCAGTTCCCTTGATGATGGAGGCACAGGTGGGGTGTCCGCGGGAACTTCAGTCCAGTGCTGGGCTCACCTGGCTTCTGCAGGAGATGGGGCCATCAGGAAAGTGTGAGCCAGAGGACGCCATTTTCACAGAAGCAGGAATTCCCAGGGAGGGCCAATGGTCAGGATGTGGGGACTGAGTGACACAGCAGGTCAGAGGAGAGTTGGGAAGTATGGTGGCACACTGGGAAGAGCACAGTCTCTGCAGTCACATACCAGCTGAGGGACTTGGGCAAGTCCTCTATCCCCTGAGCCTCAGTTTCCTCATTTGTCATACATGGATAACACATCCTTTGCAAATATGCTATGAGGATTCAGTGAAATAACAGGTGAAGCACCTGGCATATAGAGGACCTAAAATTAAAAAGGAGCTATTTCTATAGTTGCATCTTGGAGCTGCAGAATAGCTTGAATTTGAAGGTCAACTAAAGGGTCTTAGGAACGTTTCAGAAATGAAATGCAATGAAAACCCCTTCCTCCATACTCTCCTAGCGGGTGAGAAGGTGGCTCTTCCACAGGTGAGTATCAAAGCTGTGTCAACACATGAAGGATTGGGGATTCTAAGGAATTCAATGGGGATTCTAAGGAATTCAAGGTGAAAGTTGCTGAGATGTACAGGCTTCTCTGGGCATGGTGCACGCGCACAGGGAGGTGAAGGGCGAGAAGCAGCGGTCTTTGGGACCTGCTTCCTGTCTGGGACGGTGCAGGCTTGCCGGGTGGGGGTTTCTCCTGCAGTGGCTTGGTGCAACAGTGATGTGAATAGGATTTCCCCGACTCCCCCACCCCCACCCCCCACCACTGCCCCAGGGTTCAGTCTCACTCCCAGCCCTCTCTTGGCTGGGGCCTGCACTGTGCTGGTCAGTCACTGTTCAAGCACCCCAGGGTCAGTTCTTGCCGTTCATCACTCCCTTGATCCAGTCCACATAGCTGAGCACTTTGGTGTAGAAGTCATACCCTTCGCCACATCCTATGCCCCAGGACACAATGCCCGTGGCCACCCAGTGATGGGCACGATCGTCCCATACCACATAGACGCTGCCACTGTCCCCCTGGCAGACACTGTGCCGCTGCGTCTCGTCCCCAACACAGAACATATCATCAGAAAACACCTCGGGCCTCTGTCTCTTTCGGAGCCAGGCCTCACAGGCCTCCCTGGGAGCTACAGGCAGCCTGGAGTATTTCAACTCAGTAGTTAGCCAGCCCATCTCCACGCCAAACCCACTGACGTAGCCCAGCAAGCCGCTGCGGTAGAGGGTCTCATTATCGGGCAGACAGACCGGGAGGACGTTGGGGCCCAGCGGGATGCTGTGCTGCAGCTCCAGGAGGGCGATGTCCCCGCTGAAGTTGTGGGACTCATTCTGACGGTAGTCGGGGTGCACAATGACACGGCGGACAGGGTGGTTCCCCAGTTTCAGCATCTCATCTATGGCTGTGTGGCCCAGGAACACATTCACGCTCCGGTTCTTCCTGAGAGAAACACTGTCCTTGGGGTAGATGGTGTGGGCAGCAGTGAGGATCCATCTGTCACCCAGCAGGGCCCCGCCCCCACGGCCATGGATACTGGTGAAGGCTTGCCAGGGGAAGTTGCCCAGCTTAGCTCTGGAAGAACGGAGGGTCGTCTGATTCTGGGCAATGGGGGTGACTGGCCGTCCGCAGACTGGGAGAGAGGAGGGGTAGGGGTGACAGTCAGCAGCTGCATCTAGGCACATTGATTGAAGACCTACTTCTCTGAAGTGCTGTGGTAGGGGATGCGTGAAGAGGCTCTGGGATAAGGACTCTTTTTTTTTTTTTTTTGAGACCGAGTTTCGCTCTTGTTGCCCAGACTGGAGTTGCGCGATCTCAGCTCACTGCAACCTCTGCCTCCCAGGCTCAAGCAATTCTCCTGCCTCAGTCTCCCGAGTAGCTGGGATTACCAGCACTGACCACCACACCCGGCTAATTTTTGTGTATTTTTATTAGAGATGGGGTTTCATCATGTGGGCCAGACTGGTCTGGAACTCCTGAACTCAAGTGATCCACCTGCCTCGGCCTCCCAAAGTGTAGGGATTACAGGCGTGAGCCACCGTGCCCGGCCGGGATCAGGAGTCTTATACTGATGCAGACCCACAGTGTAGACCATGTGGGCAGACAAGGACGGTAATCAACGCCAAGTGTACGGGGTACCCATCCTGCATGGGACTCAGGACAGTGGACTGAGGGTAGAGAGCAGAGATGAGCACATGTTTGGGGCTGGTTCTGCAGGGCTCTCCTTCCTGCCTCCTCAGAGGCATTAAAGCAATTCCTTTGGATCATCCTGGGCCCCCATGCTACAGGCAGAGTCTGTTTCAGTGCTTCCTGCCTCAGTTTTGTGTCACTTCCTCATTTGTAACATCTCCCACTACCACCTGCCCTCCAACCCATCCCCAAAGCACCACGAGCCTTCAGGCTACCCCTAGAGTGTTCCGTGGATCTGACTGGGTTAAGAAGGCAATGCTTTCATTCAAAAGTGTGGATCTCAAAAATGGTGGACTTGAACCCTCATGTATAGCTGGTGAGATGTAAAATAGTACTGCTGCTGTTGAAGACAGTTTGGTGGTTCCTCAAAAAGTTAAATAGAATTATTATGCAATCCAGCAAGTCTACTCCTAGGTATATACCCAAGAGATTTGGAAATATATGTTGATACAAAAACTTGTACACAAATGCTCATAGAAGCATCATTTATAAAAGGCAAGAAATAGAGACAACCCAAATGTCCATCAGTTGAATGAATAAACAAAATGGTGTATCCATAGAAGGGAGTATTATTTAGCCATAAAAATGAAATATTGATGGATGCTATAACAGGAATGAACCTTGAAAACATTACACTAAGTGAAAGAAGCCAGACAGAAACAGCCGCATATTATATGATTCCACTGATACAAAATCCACAGAGGCAAATCCATAGAGACAGAAGATAGATTAGTGGTTGCCAGGGGTGGGGCAGGGGAGCGTTGGAGGTACTGGGCTTTTTTGAGGAGGGTGATGGAAATGTTCTGGAATTAGTGGTAGTGGTTTCACTACATTGTGAACACACTAAACATTACTGTATTGTACTGTTTAAAGTGGTTAAGGCTGGGCGCGGTGGCTCACCCCTGTAATCCCAGCACTTTGGGAGGCTGAGGCGGGTCGATCACCTGAGGTCAGGAGTTGTAGACCATCCTGGCCAACATGGTGAAACCCCGTCTCTACTAAAAATACAAAAAAAAAAAATGAGCTGGGCGTGGTGGCGGGTGCCTGTAGTCCCAGCTACTCAGGAGGCTGAGGCAGGAGAATCGCTTGAACCCAGGAGGTGGAGGTTGCAGTGAGCCAAGATTGCGCCACTGCACTGCAGCCTGGGCAACAAGAGGGAAACTCCATCTCAAAAAAAAAAAAAAAAAAAGTGGTTAAAATGGTAAATTTTGTGCAATGTGAATTTTAAAAATTAACTTTTAATTTTTTCTTGGCAACTACAGATTTTGAGAAGTTCTGTAATTTTTTTTTTTTTTTTTTGAGACGGAGTCTTGCTCTGTTGCCCGGGCTGAAATGCAGCGGCACGATCTCAGCTCACTGCAACCTCCACCTTCTGGGTTCAACCGATTCTCATGCCTCAGCCTCCTAAGTAGCTGGGATTATAGGCACACACCATCATGCTAATTTTTTGTATTTTTTTTTAGTAGAAACGGGTTCTTGCCATGTTGGCCAGGCTGGTCTGGAACTCCTGATCTCAGGTGATTCACCCGCCTCAGCCTCCCAAAGGCTGGGATAACAGGCATGAGCCACTGCACCCAGCCGTGAATTTTATCTCAATAAATTTTTTAAAAAATGGTTGACTTTCTGGCACTGTGTGGCATCTAGGTAGGGAGATGTTTTAGGAATAGAGAGCCTGTCAGTAGATCCTTAAAACACATGGCACAAAAGGGGTTTTCTCTTAGTTCAGCTTGTTGGTTTCTCTTCCTCTTTTTCTAGTCCATCTTATTAACTTCCTTCATGCTTTTCCTCAGATATATCTTGACCTCTGAAGAATAAGGAACAAGCCTCTTCTTTTCTGGGCCTTGTTGATTGCCCTGTTCTTCCTCACCTTCTGCTTCTTATCTTCCTTTCTATTCTAAGGCTTTCCTTTAACCCCTGTGTCCCGTAGGTCCCAGTTGCAGCTGCGACTTGTTGGGGGAATGGTGCTGGCAGGTGGCTACTCACCAGGCATACACTGAAGAACCTCCTCCCCATCCTGTCTGTCCTTCCAGGTCCCTGGGTTTGTGCCGGTGAGTGTCCCTGAGGCGCAAAATGAGGAGAGGCAAAGAAATAGGCTCAGAGTTGAAGCTGCTGTTGAACAAACCAGGCGCTCAGAGGCTGGCAGGCGTTTGGGTGGGAGTGAGGCGGATGGAAGCCACCTCTGAGCAGGTGGGGACTCACCTGCCGCCGTGGCCTGATAATAGGGCTCCTGGCAGTGGTTCTGGACCTTGGCGGGGTTGTCTCCAGGTGCGCTGATGGCCTCAGAGCCCCTGCTGGCCTCGCTGATGGGCTGACTATAGTTCACAGCTATAGGAAAACAGCACCTAGCACAGATTTGCCAACTGGCAACCCAGGGGCTGATTCTGGCCCATGGCTATACTTGGTTTGACTTGCACAGTGATTTATTTTTTATTTTTACTTTTAGTTTTTTAAAAACATTTGAGTTAGTTTTCCCTGATCAGACTGTCAACACTCAAAGAGTTTGAAGGTAAGTGTGACAAGCAGGGTAGGGGGAAACAGGCACTTCCATATATGTTTGGTAGGTATGTAAATTAGCAAAACATTTTTGGAGAAAATTTTAGCAATATCAAAATTTAAAATGCAAATATTTTTTAACCTACTACTCCATTTCTAAAAATTTAGTCTAAAGATATTCTCACACATGCGCTCAAAGACACAAATGCAAGGATATGCACAGTAGCACCGTGTGTGGCAGCAAAGTATCTATCAGGAGGGCTGATCGAATACGTTATGACACATCAGTCAAGGGGATTTTATGTGGTCAATAAAAATCATGAGTTCGCCGGTGCGGTGGCTCACGCCTGTAATCCTAGCACTTTGGGAGCCTGAGGCAGGCAGATCACCTGAGGTCAGGAGTTTGACACCTGGCCAACATGGTGAAACCATTACTAAAAATGTAAAAATTAGCTGGGTATAGTGGCATACCTATAATCCCAGCTACTCAGGAGGCTGAGGCAGGAGAATCACTTGAATCTAGGAGGCAGAGGTTGCAATGAGCAGAGATTGTGCCACTGCACTCCAGCCTGGGTGACAGAGCGAGACTCTGTCCCAAATAAATAAATAAATAAATAAATAAAAAATAAATGAGTTAATGCTGACCATATGGAATGGGATGATCTTTAAGATATATTATTCAGTGGGAAAATGCCAAGTTCAGAACACTTACAACACAGACATACAATTCATCCTCTTCCTAGGAAGAATGTCTAGGAAATGGAGAACACAGCTGTTTCTGGGGAGGGCAGCTAGGAGTTAAGAGCCAGAGATAGAGGAAGACTTACTTTTTAGCATACTTAAAAAAATGATATTTTATCATGTGTACCCTTCCTTCCCTCCCTTCCTCCCTCCCTCCTTCCCAGCCTCCTTTCCTTCCCTTCCTTCTTTCCTTCCTCCCTCCCTCCCTGCCTCCCTTTATTTCTCCCTCTCTTTCTCTCTTTCTTTCTTCCTGTCTCACTATGTCTCCCAGGCTGGAGTGCAGTGGCATGATTACGGCTGACTGCAGCCTCAAACTCCCTGGCTCAAGCAATCCTCCCCTTCGGTCCCCGAGTAGCTGGTATTACAGGTGTGCACCACTACGCCTGGCTAATTCTTAATTTTTTTGTGGAAACGGGGTCTCACTATGTTGCCCAGGCTGGTCTCTAACTACTGACCTCAAGCAATCTTCCAGCCTTGGCCTTCCAAAGTGCTGGGATTACAGGCATGAACCACTGCCTCTAGCCAGTATTTATCTTTCAAAACCAATCTGAGTCATCATTTGAAAATTTATAATTTTACTTAAAAACCCGGATTTTTGGCATCTCTTTAAAAATGAGATGATCTGCAAACACCAGGCCTATAAATCTGTGTGGAAACCACCACTGGGGCTGGGCAATGGCTGTCTCTTAATAGGGTTGCTTGCCAGCAGGGGCAGGGCTGG